CTTTATTGCGTAGTGAAGGATATTTCCTCTCATTGAAAAAATATTTTTTCCATGGATTTACACATCTTGAAAAAAATTCGGTTTTTAGCCCGAGTCAGGGGTTGTGTACCTGCTTTGTCCGGTGTGTCTCTGCCTGTCTGGTTATCAATAACTCTCATAAATCTATCCTATCGACTTTAAATTTTATACTATTACTTTGTCATTTTTAATTTTCCGAAATTTGAAGTTGATAGAATAAGTTTCAAGTAAGTCAAGACGCAAGACGGACGGATGGACAACACGGGTACATAAGTCCTGGGTCGGGCTAAAATGCCTCCATGATTACGTCATTTTTGGAGTAAAATGCCTCCACAGAAAGTTGAATAATTTTGGAAATATATCCATGGAACGTATCACTGAAATTTTCATTTGCTCCGTGATAAAGTTTGGTAATTCAAAAATTGCTACGCCACAAGCTATGGTTGTGAGGCGTTGCTATTCCGCAGCAACGGGATATTTTTGAGAATTCTCTTACGAAGGAAAAGGTTAAGCATAATAAACCGTTACAAACGAATGTAACCAAGGGATGAAACCATATACATTAAAATGAGTATTATTATTAATGTTATTTAGTGTTGAAAATCTGTTAAAATTAACACGTCTGATGTGTTTCTCACATATATGACCTTTGACCTTTGACCTCGTTCACACGGGTGTCGTAGGTCAAATTGACTTATTTAGTTGGATAGCTCTTTGAAAATACTATCGATTTGGGTCTTTATATGATGCCATTCTAACTAAGAAATTCATGACCTCTGACCTGGCGCCGTGACCTTGTGTCCAACCTTCTAATCAGGTCTGACCCTTGACGTAAGGAATTTACGTTCAAGGTTTCAAGTCTGCATGTCGTTGAGTTCACGAGTTATCGGACCAAGAGACAAGCGGACGGACGAATGGACAGACGGACATGACGATCTTATAAAGGGCTTTCTTCACGCCTTAATAAAGATGTAAATATTAGACACATTTATACCCGAACAACATAATTATTGCTACTCATAAGATTATTTATTATACAACGCTGAAGTGGATCCCGGTCAACGATAGCCTTTGTTTGTTCACGGGTCTTTTATCGGTTTCGTATATGTCTATCGGTACACACGTAGTAAATAACTCCTTGCATAATATTTACATATTTATGTACACATGTATCTGCGAAATGGGATACTTCTCATGTAACCTTTCTTCTCATGTGTGTTAGTCCTAAACAAAGATAAAAGTGGCGACGTAAAATACATAAAACTTATGTAAAATCATTATTTTTAGAAAATACAAAATTCATATATTGAATTGGCTAACATTTGTTTTCTCTTTGAAATAAATTTACTGAAGTGAATAAAATAATATCAATTTTCTGCCCAGGTTGGCATTTTCACGGGTGGAGAAAGTTCTGGAAGAAAATTTTACGCAATATTTACGTTCACTTATGTAAATCATATCTCTTTGTGCGTAACGTAATGAAAATGAAGATATGCAAATGTCTATCTATGTAAATTTATAGAGGGAACACGACCATAAATCATATTTCCTTGTGCGTAATGTACATAAATCAAGATATGCAAATGTAGACGAAATAGTCATATCTATCAATCGTCCCATAATTAGTGGGATAATTCGACATAAGTGAAATACATGGCTCCACTCTCCAGGTGGTTGAATTGAATGAAGTAATTAATCACATTTAATGATCAGCCGGCTTAAAATTCATCCATGAAAGTGTACCAGGTATTTCCCATTCACGAGAAAATGATACTTGACTCACGAATTTAATGGGTTGAGTCATGTATAAAACCCATTTCATGGAATACTTAAAGATTTTATATACGCAGTAAAAATTTGTTTAGTACTCATTCATCGCTACTTTGCTGTGTTTGGTTCGTAGTAAAGAAAAAAATCTGATTTTCTCCCAAGTTTTTACGTCAACTAGATACGTTCGTTATCAAGCTCGTCTAGAAGTTCTCAGAAGTGTGGAGGTATTAAAAATTAAGTAAAACTACGATTCCGTTCCCACGTAAATATAAGTATACAGCAGGCAGTAGGTTACAAGATATACGCTACACATTAAGTAGTATGTACATATTCTGCAAATATTTAGCATTGCACGACAAATACAAGTTCTCAGAAATATGCACCTATTAAAAATTAGCTAAAACTATGCTTCTTCTCCTACGTAAATATTTAAAAGCATACTGCAGCAACCAGTAGGTAGTTTAGTTTACGAGATATATACATACATATGCGTATATCAGTGTACTACACACATTTGCATACTATATACAAACATATTTCTGCAAATATTCAGTACTACAGCTACACGAGGACAAATATGTATGGATCTGCAATTCGCAAATATTTGCCAACATTTGCTTTCTCCCCAGAGAAAACAACAGGTTTCTAAATATTTGATTTCATTTCTCTCTGTCTCCCATTACCAGTCAGATCCATTTGTCAAAGAAGTGAAAGCGTATTGCATAATGTATTATTCAATACGTATTGTTGAAGGACGAGAGAAATTTTGCACTACAATTACATAAGTGCACACTACATAAGTACGTGTATACACTTACACGGGTACATATGTATGCATAAATAATCGATCCGATTCCACTGTCAGGTTCAATATGTACAAATTCGTAAGTGTAAAGTGAGTAAATTGACCTTTTTCTCTGCAAATTTTCAAAGTTTAGTGGTGGTACTTCAACTTCCTCTTTGACAGCATACATGCATACATTAGACAACAGCTCAATAAAGTAATCCATCACCTGTATCACATTTTCAAATTTAGAATGGTTTTTCAAAATTAATAAATTGCTAGCTCCTAATTTTTTAGAATTGAGTTGTGTATTTCTTAACAGAAAGTGCTATTTAATAGCAAATTTATGTGCATAAGTGAGTATATACATAAATTTGCATATGTATATACACATATGCGTAAATAACCTATCCGATTTCAGGTTCAATATGTATGTAAGCGTAAAGTGAGTAAATTGACCTTTCTTCTCTGTAGAATCTCAAATTTGAGTGGTACTTCAATGTCTTCTTTGACAGTCGACCTTACTTTTTGGTACATAAGACAACAGCTCAATCAAGTAGTTGATCATGCATCACATTTTAAAATTTCATGCAAAAATATATTCATGCAAAAATGCATCTTCAAAATTGACAAATTACGTCCCCAATTTTTTAAAATTATGTTTTACATTTTTTTGTACAGAAATTACTATTTAATGAATGGAAAGGTAGGTCTGATTGAGACGGAATAGATAATAGGCACAAAGTCGCTTTGCGTCATTTACGGTTACCAAACTTGATTATATTTTGAATGATTGTGTAACTAAATTAACTCCTCGACGTCGTCTGTCCTCCTACAAGAACCACTTTGCTTGCTTTCTCCGACATAATGCATTCTGACAGGGCGTAGCCGATCCTGTTAAGGTATTCGCAAAATGAAAGTGGGCTACCTAGATCGTGCTCAGCAGGTGTTTCGCTTCTTGCGGGTTTGCTACATTTCTTGCACTGCAAAGAAATAAACGCAAGAAACGCGAGGTGCAAGAAATTACAAGAAAGTGCACGAAAGTGGGAGAAAGTGCAAGAAATATGTGCCATCAAGCCACGTGCACGATGATGTATGCGCAGCGGGCGTAGTTTCTAGCGCGGCGCCTTTCATTTCTTGCTGGTCAAAATATTTACCTGCAAAAAACCACTTTCTTCCCGTTATTTCTTGCAAGTGCTAACTTTCACCCGAAACACTGTGCCCAGCCAGCCGAGGTGAAAACTGGCTGAGAAGAAGAATGGATCTCTTAAAATAAATTGCATTTCTACCTTCGAATAGATCAGATCAGAATGGATGGATTGATGAAATGAAATTTGTTTCCTAAAAAGCCATCTACTTTTCCGGGGAGCGGATAATAATACTGTCATCTGGCCAGTAAAGTTTTCTTCGCGAATAATAGCTGACTTGTCCCATTTATTCGGCTGCATTGAATTTCTGGTCATGTTCCCTTTAACCAAGCTCATCTCGCTCGACTGGCAGAACTGACTGACTGACTTTCTCTCCTCGTCAGCAGCAGCAGCAGGAGGAGGAGAGTCAAGTTCACTGACAAAAGCAGCAGCAGCCGCGGTCGGAAGATTTGATTTGGCCAAAATTCCTTAAATGTGGCCTCGCCGTACATGCAAATGTCATTAGTGTGCGAAAGGAGGCCTTCATTACAGTTATGCTTTCGAGATGTGTTACAAGTCTCAGTTTAATAAGAAAGGCGTTGCGCTGTCCATTTATGAAGGAGGAGAAAGCAGCTCTTTGCAAAATTGAGACTGTGATGCGAAATCTAGACGAAAATTCAATTTTCTTTCATCTAAATACGTCACAGACTGCGACTCACGGTCGGTTAGTCTAATTTGCCAAGCACAATTAATTACACGCGACGGTGGCTACTTTGAAATAATTTATTGACGTAGGTAGAATGCGATGGTGTGAAGTGCAACATTCGGATTTTATTGAAATTTTGGAATTAAATATGCAGTTCAAGTCAATACAACCAAGTTGGAATGATCAAAATTTATCATTTTCGAGATCAAAGTTGAAAAACAGGGCATTTTTACCTGTAAAAAGTAAACTCGAGTGTGCTAAGTACCTTCCCTTGGTAAAAATGCGCATTTTTTCAACTTTGATCTCGAAAATTTTGATAAATTCTGATCATTCCACAAGACAAAAACTGCGTCAAGACACATTAATTTCATTAACTTGAACTTCATATTTAATTCCAAAATTTCAACAAAATCCTAGCGTTGCACTTCACATCATCGCATTGCAAGAAAAGTCTGACGGCCAAGGTAAATAAAAAGTGGAAATATAAAGAAGAAAAATGACTCCATCGTCCAGTTCAATAAGAATGACATCAAATGAACGATGGGACAAATTCATCATCATAAAAATTGATCAAAAGCTTTACAGGTTTTTTATTCATAAAAATTCTCCACTTCATTTACATACAACTATTTATTCCCTAATTGGAAAATAAATTCCAAGAAATTTCTTACTCACGTAAATACATATTTACTTTCTTCCATTATAAGAATACACCAGGTTGCTGAGTATATCACACATTCATCAATTTATCCATCCATCCATCAATCACAAATTACTTGATATCGATTCTCTCATCTCATCTCAAGGTAAACTAAAAGTCTATATACAACTTAACGCCAAGATATTTTAGCTCTCCAACTTTTCACACACGCTCAATCTTCCAGTGACTAAAAGAGTATTTATTTACTCAAGAAGAACTAAACCATTTGATTCAATATTATACATACGTGCTTCTCAAGTTAGCTGGCTACTTAATAAATACACAGTTGACATGATAAATATACACCTAGATAAGTACTCAAGTAAATACGTACAAAAGAAAGATATATAACTTATATAAATTCATTTGCTCCACGTGTCACACGTACTTCGTGTCAAAATGGGAAACAATCATAATAACAATAACGTAGTAGAAAGTTTATCCGACACTACTTTCACTTTCTCCGGACTTTCTCCTCTCTGAAAAACTAGCAACTATTCTCATCAGCCAACTGCTTGTTTCTCGGTGATGATTTATGTTGTGATGAGGTAACGATGTGCGTTAGCGGGATTGCTCCTCCGCCTCCACCTCCACCACCATCCGAACCTGAGGGTGTGGTTGAGCTGCTATTTTTCCTCGACCAGGGTGATCCTGGCGCGGCGTTGTTGAGGTGAATATTGCCGTTCGTGGTGGTGGGCGACGATGCCGACTTTCCACCCACCACGACGATAGCTTTAGTTTGTTGGTTGACCGCGGAGTCACGTTCTCCACGGAAACTTTTTTTGTGAACGTGGTGATGGTGCTGGCTCGGGCTGTGGGAGGTTCGCAGGTGGTTAGCGTGCAGGGCGAGTCCAGGTCCGGCAGCTCCGGTGTGGGTGTGACCGTGGTGGATTTGTTGGACCCCGGTCAAACTACAGCCACACGCGAAGCCGGCTTGACGGAGGAGCATGGCTTCCTGCGGGGTGCGACGTGGATCCGTTCGACAGCAACACCAGCAGAAGAGGTGCTCGTTGTATTGCTGGAAAGGAAAAAAAGGAGAGGAAATTTGTAAGTATTTAGAGAAATCAGGAAGGAAACAAAGTTGGGTTTGTTACACTCTAAATAAAATTGTGTAAAATTTATACTACTGAAAATTGAGGATGATACAATAATTGGGTGAAATTTGTATCAAACTTTGGGTAAAGTTTTGCACAACGTTACGAAAATTTTTAACACGGTGAAAGTCAATTATTTTACTGGTTCTCAGTTTCGGGTGTAAGTAACCACTTGCAAGAAATAGAGGCAAGAAAGTGTTTTTTTGACTTGTAAGAAATTCAAGGCGCAAGAAACCACCTTTCTCCGCTATATTTCATACAGCGCGTTGCTGGCTGGCGCATATTTCTTGCACTTTCTCCCAGTTTCTTGCAGCTCGCATTTCTTGCGTTGCTTGCTTTGCAGTTCAAGAAATGTAGCACATCCACAAGAAACGTGACACTGATTTTACCCAATTGTTGCATCATCCTTATTTTACCCAAATTACGTGAGTAAATTTTGCACAACTTTATTTAGCGTGTATTTATATACATGTATCTTCCTTACCTTGCGAAACGTGCCGCTGACACAGTAAAGTGTGATGGGGTTGATACACGAGTTGATGAAGGAGAGACAAAATCCCGTGATTCTGCAGGCGTGCCAAAAGTCGTTAAATCCATTTTCTGCCTCTGGGTAGAAGTAGAACCAAAGGAGGAACAAGTGCGAGGGGAAAAAGCACAGGGCAAAAATCAGCACAAAGGATAAAATCATCTTGGCCACCTGGAAGTGTGAAACATTTTCATTAGTTGGATTAGAATTTACACCCTATTTATGTAGCTCAGGCCAATTATGGAGTGTAATTATGATGCCCACGGGGAGAAAACTACTCATGAAAATTAATCTAGACGATACCCTCGCAAGAAACAAATCTCAGACACAATTATTCGCGACATCTTTTTTTAGTGATTCTACATTCGGCAAAAAAATTTCTATGAATTTTATCAATTTCCTGGAAGCCAACATCACCACAAATTTGATATGGACATGGAATCCCAAAAACTTACGAATGTACGTATGTAAAAAAGGTCAATAATCAACATAATATGCTGTGACATCTGTCACATTTCGGTTTTCATGCACATTTCATGTACATTCGTGCGTGCGTGCAAGTTGGCATTATTTATTTGTCATGTACTGCACATACAACATGGCATGACATGGATCGACCCGACTCACCCTAAAAGTGCTAATATCGTGCCTTTATTACACCTCGGCGACCACTTTTCACCAAAACAGAGGTGTCTGAGTAGCCACAGACTTCAATAAACCGCTTTCTCCACGCGACCAAGTCAACACCTTCGAAACCACCGGCATCACATTCACCCATTTGGAAAAATACAAAGCCCAATAAATGTTTGCCACGACAAAACAGAAACAAAATACATGGCTAAAAATGTGGTGAGGTCACATATGCACTTTGTACTGGTATAGACTTCGAAATAACTTCCTCCCAATTGGCAATAGGTTGTTTCTGAGTGGTAAATTTTTATTACCACAACGGTAATACCCCTTATTACCGTGTCGGTTGTATGCAATCCGGTCGGTAATGATTCGATACCAATTTGCTAAGAATATAATTACCACCCACCTTTCTCCGTCCCTGCATCTGTTTGGCTTGTCCTTGGGACTCGCCGGGCATATTTCTGGTGGAGAGGACCAAGTGACGAGCCATGATGATGTAGAAGTATCCAATGAAGAAGAGCGGGATGGCGTAGTAGGCCAGGAAATGAAACATGACCATCATCTGTGGGAGTAATTTTCTTTTATGTAAGTCATCAATCTTTCCCTGAATGCAAACTTCCTTCCTCTCCCACAACCACGATGCCTTATAGAAAAAGGAACAAAATGATCCTCGTAGACAAAATAAATACCTGCGGGTATTTGTCTCCAAATGGGTGGTCGGGTGGGAATGGGTAGCAGACGTAAAATACCCGGCCGGGATCTTGATGAGAGAAATCTCGTACGTAGGAAAATATCGCGGAGGGCAGCGCAAATCCGATCGAGACGAGCCAAATTCCTGAAATAATAAGAGAAATCACATTTTCATTCGTGTGGTATTTGATTTCTTGCAAGATTTTCACATGTCTTGCACTGTAAATTGTGCGAAAATGCAAAAAATTAGCGCCATCTAGATTGGGAGCTTATATGAATTTCTTAAACTTCTTTTTGAAATTCTAGAGGCTAAAAATCTCAAATTTCGTGCAGTAATTTCTTGCAGGTGGTTTTTTTATCGCTTCAAACACTTCGTGTATCCCTTTCATCACAGATTATGCGCCACCTAGCGGCTCACCCTTTGTTCTATAATTAGTTATAGAGATTCTCCGCTAGTTAGCACTTATTTCTTGAAACTCTACTCTTAAAATTCTGACCGCAAAAAAAAAAAAATTTCATGCACTAATTTCTTCCAGGTGTTTTTTTTTCTACCGCAAACCAAACACAGACTTCACCTCTTTCGTCACACATTCGAAATTTCATTTCCACCCGTGTTTGATAAGAAAACATGCGTCATTTACCTGCAATAGTGATGCACGTAATGCGGGTAGCCCTCCGCCCATGCAGTTTCCTCATGGGGTCTGCAATCGCAAAGTAGCGATCCGCCGAAAGCGCCGTGAGCGTAAAGACGGAAACCCCGATGGAGAGATCTTTAATGAACTCGGAGAACTTGCAGACGAATTCGCCATACGGCCAGCTGTCCACGGTGTACACGGTGGACGTGAAAGGGACGCAGAACAGGATCACGAATAGGTCCCCAACCGCCAAGGAGACGATGTACCTGTCCCCAATTATAGAATTTAAACTGTTCAAAGTTTGAGGGTTGTCGATAAACAGGAGTAAAATGAGAAGTGAAAGCGGGGAGAAAGTTGAGACGACTCACATGTTGGGAACGTTCCGCATGGTGCGGTGCTTCATGAAAATGGCGATGAGCGTTCCATTCCCCAGAATCCCGATGACAAATATGATCGCGAAGAGGATCGGGACGATGTAGGTTTCTGGTCTGGAAATAGAAATGCAGAGGTGAATAAACGAAGGTAAATAGGTGATAACTGTTTAATTTGATGGGCTGGCTGGTTTTACTTACCTCGAGCTGAAAGGTACGTAGTCCATCGTGTCGTTGTAGTCGGTACTGTCGGGATCAAAGCTTTCACCACCTGAACTTTGATTCCAGGCGGTGTTTTCGTCATTATTCTGGGTTGAATCCTGGCCGATGTCATGATGAAGCTCGTTCAGTGGATCTCCCATTTCAATCATGCTCTGAGTAAGGGTTCACAAGTGAGAGTTTTGTCTACTGGCTGGTTGTAATTTGATTGTCTGGAAATATATAAGGTTCACGTGGAGGATGAGACAATTGATGAGATGAGACAAATGATTTCGAAATTTGTAATTTGATTGTCTGGAAAGGCATATGTAAAGTGATGGATAATGACAATTGGCAAAATTTGAATGAGTTTTTGCGTAACACAACATTCTGAGAAAAGTCAATATTTCCGAATTTCCTTAATCATGTTGGGTTCTCAATTTGTTTATTTATTATTATTTGCAATATTGCAACGCATAACGAAATCACTGGGAGAAACAAACACGGAGAAAGTTACAACTTCTGGTTTTCCCTCTATTTGAACTGAAATTAGTATTTTACTCGTGATGCTTTCTCTTTCTCTCTTCTCATCTTACAACCAACAACCGCAAATCCACCACCACCACCATTATCGACTTCACTTCCTTCCTTTATTTCTTCTCGAATTGTGAATAGTTCAAATAAAACTGGAGAATTTCTCTCCTCTTTCGAATAAATAAGTAAATTAATCCTTAGTTTTCTTGGAGAAAATCCTCTCTTTGCGGCGAAAGGAGAAAGGAAACGGAAATTGCTGGCTGAACAAGGTGTGTGGTTTCCAGTGATAAAAGAAAACATTCGCCGTCTCGACTTTACATGGTTCTTCGAATACACATACGCGATGCAAGAATTTGTTTAAATAGTGGGAAAATTTGAGACGATGCTGCTTTCTCCACGAAATTCGTGTGGTATTCATTCGACTCTAGGATTGCTTCCTATTTCACGGAAGGCTTAACTCGTGCAGTAAAAAGGAAGCTTAGCTTTTTTAAGTCGACGTGAAATAGATAAAGCTTTCTTCGTCCCAACGTTTCGTAATCGTTGGACAATTCGTAGACGGAATAATCATTCCACCCATGCTTTCTCTATGTATTTATTTGCGTGGGTTTATTAAACTATTTATGAGGGGGTTATTTTTGGCAAGAATTGAGTCCTAGAAGAGCTAATTATTGTGTGAAATGGTGTACAAAAGGGGAGGGTGAAGATTGTGAGACAAGTAATCATTGTGGGAAATTGGATTTATTAATAGTTCGATGAAATCTCGTTTAGTTTTAGGAACGCGACTTTCTCCGAGAATTGCGGATTTTTCAAGCAGATAGTAAATTAATACGTACTGTACTTGATCTGTTAAAGTGGATTTATGTATTCTCTTTGGTAACTTGCGCCAATGTAATAATTTAACTATGGCGCAAATCGAAGAGTGAAGTTTAGAGACACCCCTACTGTTCAGCTAATATTAATAGTCTGAAAAAAATCTGAAAGGTTTCCTGGCAGATATTTCATAATAATATTTTTTTAAAAAAACCTAATAACCTCTCAGAAAATTTTCCAATGAATTGAGACTATTAATATTGGCTGACGTTGAACCGTAGTGGCCTGACAATTAGAGAAAGCAATTATTACCTCCAATAGTTGTAATAATTCGACCCTGACATAATTTTAGTGGCTGAACCTCAGCACCTTTATTATTTCCCTCAACCTGCCAATTTCATCATCACACCACAAATTTTAATTTATTTTGATCCCAACCAAACCCAAACCTTCGAGACGCTTCAAATTATCATCAAACTGCGGGAGACGATTTTTTTTCCTCTCAAAAAATTTGCAAATTGGGTCGAATAACTTCTGCTCGTTCAACTTTCTCCAATCTAAAAACCACGAAAACCAAACCTAACCAAACCTGATCTGGAAAGGTGTAAAGTCGAAACTTTTTACTTCTCCGCCGCACCGTTTCATTCCAATCAGTCAGGAACATGAGGCCCATTTCCGGCCCGTATTGCACAATTTTTTCATTGCGAATGAATTTGTATAATGTGTACAATGCAGGAAATTTTTTGCCAAAGTGGGATTGGAATCGATAAAAAAAGTTTGCAATTTCAGTTGTGAAAACGATTTAAGTAAGTCGTCCGATCTTCAAAAGTTTAGTGGAAAATTTGAACGATGACTTTCCCCGTGAGAACGTACTAGAAACATAAGTATTTTTTGGTTAGGATGGCAAAAACGGTGAGATTTCCAGGAAAAGAGGGATACATTTCTGGCACAAGTCGTCCTCACAACTTGAAAACTTCCACCTCATTTAATGTCACTGGACTGGAAGAAAGTTTGTCTCGGAAATGTCCTCATGCAAGGAAACATTCATAACTAAATTTTCCCTCGTGAGTAAATAAGTAGTCCAACTAATTAAAAAAAGTGTATCCCTAAATGATACAATTTATAAATATTTATTTATGCAAAGTACATATTTACATAGAAAAAAGTTTGAAAAAACTCATTTATTTTAAGAAAAATATGAAAAAAATTGACAGCATTCGTTTCCTCAAATCCTGACAAGATTACGTATTTGTAAACTTAACTTTTTTAAGCAGCAGAAGAAGACTCAACTGGAGTTAGTTTCTGGTTAAATAAACATTTGTAGCCAGTTTGTCCTACGTGGATCCGACTGACTTACATGTAATCTCAATTTATTTCCTTTCCTCTTATCTGCAAGGAACAAGACGGCTTTGACTGCATGCTTCTTTTGAGCTACTACGATGCACCGCAAAATGTTGACCCACCCAATGCCGCCGTTGAACAGGCGGATCTACTTGAAACAGAGTTGAGTCGGTTTTACGGCTTTCGGATATCAGAATCATCCGGTTCGGTTTTGATGGATATTTTTTATAACCGAAATATTCGAAGTTAGTTTTAATGGATATTTCTTAGTCGAAAAATTTGGATTCGGTTCGGATGGATATTTTTTAGCCAAAATATTCGGATTCAGTTCGAATGGATATTTTCCTATCCAAAATATTCGCATTTGATTTGGATGATATTTTTCAACCGAAAAATTGGGTTAGAATACACATTTTTTTGGAGTTCGTTATGATGGATATTTTTCCGTCACAATTTTCGGATTCGGTTCGGACGAATCAGACAAATCGTCCAACCGGCTCAACTCTGCCTTGAAGTAGCATTTCTCTTCCCAATGGGATCGGAAATGGGAGAGGATTATATTCGTGCCAAAATCAGAGTCATTCTACTCTTTCCGTCCGCCCCATACTTACAACTGTAACCTGAAATCTAATGTAATCACTGCAACGTATGGTTTTCATCACAGCACAGAAAATAGTCCCAGAAAACCGACCGACCAACGATGATTAGCAGCAGATTACGTATTTTTGGAAACATAAAGGTCTTTTATTAGAGGCATAGATACATATTTGAGGATTCATTCGACCTGTCCCACAGGTCCCATTGTTCCTTTTCCTGGGAAAATATTACAGCCAAAAGATTACAAAGTTTCTTTCTTTCTTTCTTTTCTCTTTCTTATAAAATGAGAAGAATGACGAGAATTTTCTTTATTGCGGAGGGAACAACCTTTCTCAGGTCAACCGCAAAAATATGTACTTGACAACCACCTCAAAAAGATGATGTGATCGACACAAGTAGATGTCGCAACCTCACCACCAGACCAGATACGAAATGAAATGAAATGAAACACCCAATAATAATTTTTTCCTTATTTCTTCTCCTTTGTAACACAACAATTGTCAAGTAGTTGACAATTTTTCGACAACTGGAACTCTTTTGTGGGAAACAAATTACAAAAGAAATGTCAGTTTGTACTCGTGATATTGAAACACTTGTGATTGTGACATGCGATGGGCGACCTTTTAAAGAAATTAGACGTCAAAAGTTCGGAGAAAAGGATGCATTTGACATTAAAGACTTAAGTGTCAAGGGTGTTTGGCTGTTGTGGGTTTTCTACATTTCTTCCGGTGCAAAGGAAGAAGTGCAAGAAATGTGAGGTGCAAGAAACTGGGAGAAAGTGCAAGAAATATGCGTCATCTAACCACGCGGCGGGAGGCAGTTTTTAGTGTCTTGCATTTCTTGCAGGTTAAAGTAACTGTAAAAACCACTTTCTTTTCCGTTATTTCTTGCAAGTGGTTACTCGCACATGAAAAACTCGGTGGCAAGTGTGTCCTTAGTTAGCTTTTTGTCTCATTTTTTATTATTAAGAAATGAATTCCAACTTTCTAAACCGTTAATTTAACCTGCATATTTTACAAATGACATATTACACAAATCAAAGTGAAAGCTATACAAGAGCGAAAATTCTATCTGTCAAGATGCTCCTAAGTGGATGTCTGTAGATCAAACGTAACGTGTGTGTCTGAAATGAATAACCAATTACTTTGGTGTAACGGAATCTGGTAAAATTACCCGGGTTTTGAGATTAGAGAGATACCACGACATAAAGTAGACACATATTCTGCTCACCTGACACTTTTAGTTGGAAACAAGTGCAGTATCATATTTTATCAGGATCAGACTTTTCCTGAGTCTCATTTTTCCCACAGGAAACCACTGAACTCTTGAGCACCTCTCAACTTTCACTCGAACCTCGAGATACTAATGCTAATAAAACAGTGCAATTTTCCCCGAATATTGCAATTCCCCCACATACAATTTATTATGTGAATGTAAAACTAATGAAAAAGTTGTGACCTTACCGAGACCCAAGAGGATGCCGAGTAGTTTCTGCTCAAATTTTTCCGCGATTATTCATGGAATGAGATCATTTCTGGTGAAAATTGTCCCGAATTACGTAGATACATTTAATAAATAACTTATTTCTTGACAGTTAGAAATTACCCACGTATTATTTACTTCACACATTACATACAGTAATTAACCAACTTTTAATTATCTCCACGTACGTCAGTCAAATAATTTTCTGGCGTGTTGAAAAGTCCCGTTCGCGTGACGTAATGCAACTTAATAGCTTTCACTTAAGTAATTGGGGCGAGTTGGTTAACAAAATTGGGCTTATCCACACTTTTTCTAGTTACTTACTTACTCATCCGTCAGCTCATTAAGTATCTCCTTTGGTGACAGTTGATCCGTTAAATCTTGAAAATCAAGACTCTTCTTCTTCTTCTCCAAAGTAAATAGGATCCTTGCCAGGAAATCAATCAGTCACTGGTAACAAAAAAAAGTATGTAGTTGCCGATACCGATTAGCGATGATGATAACAAGTCCTGTCAAACTATAGCTAGATAAGTAGCCAGCCAAGTATTTAGTCCGTTTGCCGGGGGAGATGAGAATTGTGCAAGTGTTCGTGTTGTTGAGTGAGACTCCTGCAGTTGAGTGAAGGCAGGCAAAATCCGAATTTCGGTGTCGGGGTGGTTCCACCATCCATGATCCATCCACTTGGAGAAGTACGTATGTAGCATTGTGTGGTTTTTAGGCTGGCTGGCTGTATCCGAGGTGCGGGTGTACTTTTGCCTGCCAGAGTGGATGGATCTCTTATCGAAAAGAGTACAATTTGTAAGCAGGGTTGTTTCATACGTACGTATTTAGATATCTCTCAACTCGTTTCCTTCCTAAGTTCAGTAGGTACAGTCAATGGAAAAAGTATTGGCAACACCCACGCAAGCTAAATAAAATTGGTTATAACTTTGGCATGCGTTATCAAATTAGCGTGAAACTTTGAACACATTTGATAAATCTAATGTAGTGTTCGATTATAATCGTGTTTCCGATTTAAACCTAGTAAACATAACGCAATCCAAATTTTGACCCTAACTAGTCAGGTACGAACCTGCAAAAAGTATTGGCAACATGTGGCTAAATTAGTTACTCGACACAATTTTCTTAACCATCTTCCACATTTCGTTACGGTAAGGTAATTAAGTGACAAAATATAACGTTAGCGACATTTTAAGTCTACAGTTGTGTTGTCTGGAGCCAAAATGGCGGCACTAAACCAGCTGTATTTGGCGCGGCGAGAAATATTCATGCCTCTTCCATAAAAATGCTTTGTTATCGAAAAATCAAAGAGAAAACATACTTTTCCATATTCACTATTGAAAACGTAGCAAAGAAATATAAAATGACGATCTCAGTTTCTACTTTTCGACGATGCGGAGGAAAAAGGTCACCTACGCCCAAAATCTACTGATGAATCAAGCAACAAATCACTCGAGATCGGAAGATTTTAGCCCCCAAATCCATGTTGAATTGCAGTACTAACTGTGGGCAAACATATCATTCAATTTGGTGTTCACTAAAAAATTATGCCTTGGGGTTTCAGGCTCCAGTAGCCCGACCGACGAGAGAGTCCCCAAAGCGAACCACCTCAATAAATTGGGATGGGCTAAATATAAGCCTCAATTGACTTCCAATGAATGAAATAAAATCTACTGGTACGACATAGGCATATTTTACTTATTCGGAGCTCATTAATTGGTTCAAGTCTGGCGGATGCCATAAAAGGCTCAGAAATACGAAAACGTTAGTATGGCAATTTAACACATAGGAGGATCGATTATGGTTTGGGGTTAAATGACTAGGTGGCGGCGTGTTTACCTGGTCATTATCGATAAAATCATGACCAGGGAGGTCTAATTAATCATTCCAAACGATAATTTGAAATTATTTGATAAAAACCTGATCTGGGGAGGAATTTTATATTCCAAAAATGCAGTGACCCAAAACAGCTACCCCAATTAAGGATGCAAGTTTTTGGAGACCGAAAAGGTTAAGCTTCTTTCGTTGGCTGCACAGTCTCCTGATGTCATTCTGATTATTTGGGCTGCGAAAAGAGAGACCGGTGGGAAACCACTCGATGAAAAACGAGCTTGTCAAAAGTTCGAAACAAGGGTGGCCAACCATATAAAAAAACGTTATAAAGAACCTTGTCGAATCAATTCAACGGCCTATTTATGCTCTTATTGCGTCGAGGGGAGGTGCCGCGTAACATTAGAAGCAGTGGGACGTAATAAAATTGGCGATTCTTTGATTTATGATTTTATAAGTTATAGGGTGCCAATACTTTTTGCGGGTTAATTTTACATATTTTCCAACAAATTATTTAAAAACTGCGTTTATCCAATTTTAATCAATAAAACATGATTATAATCGAAAACTACATTAGATTTGCTAATTGCGTACAAATTTTCATGCTAATTTGATAATGCATGCCAAAGTTATAGCCAATTTTATTTAGCTTGTGTGGGTGTTGCCAATACTTGTTCCATTGACTGTACATCGATTCTCTGTTCTCCGCTTGATTGCGACATGATAACCGCTTAGCTCACTCAGGAACTTTGCATGGGAACCTCTTATGTAGATACGAATCCTATATATTTTATTGCGCAATGCATTCATGAAATTCGCAAATTCTTGGGATTTCTATGTATCTAGCTTTGTTCTTTATTTATTTATCACCATTTTTGTGATACTTCACTCTTTAAACAAAATGTCGTTCATGAAAGAATGGAAGGTCAAAAAGCTTATAACTTTCTCCACCGCTATTTTCACCCTTCAAGGGCGATGTGCAATTTAAAACGTGATAGATCGTGCTCACACATGGACAGTTTTTGGAAGGTTATGTTACGCAATGCTAATTTCATGCGGATTATATATATTTATAGATATACATATATTTCTTCTATCTATGACGATATGTATGCAATTTAAAACGTGCCTGTGCGAAAGTAAGAGGATGTTCACACATGGAGAGTTTCTTCAAAAGGTTACGTTACGCAACGCTTATTTCATGCGGATTAAGTACGCATATTCTTCAGTAGGAATTTTGTAATGTAACAAACTTATGTATGCTGGAATGTGTCAATGTCAATTTACATAAATATGTGGTCTGGTCGTGGTGTGGTCCCGCGGTTGAGTTGTTATTCGGTGCCGTAATGCATATTTTATTGCGCGTGTATGTATATATATATTTAGTGGCCGCGGAAGCTGTGGGGACATTAACATTGTGGGATAAGGGAGGGCAGGGTTCATATAACATGGGCAGATGATGGGGACATTGAATAACCGTGGGGACATTGTCCCTCTGTCCCCATGCTTCCGCGGCCACTGTGTATTTCTACAATTGGTAGTAATTGGAAATGTCATACCCTTCCAATTTGGGCATATTAAGTAAGATTTTTATGACACTCCTCACCTTCACCGCATTCATTCATTCATTCAATCCCATTTATTATTCATTTCGCTATTATGCTGAAGATCGATATTTGACTACTAACACGACAATAATGACACGTTTGATGACAAGTATTGTGTGTAAGTGACGCTATCAGAAGGAGAAGAAGAAACGGTACAAAGAAACGATTTGCACGATTTATGTATGCAGACGAGACGCATTATGTTCTTGACTTTCTCTTCTCCTCAACCAGCCCACGCGTGTGCTGGAATGAAATTTTATGAAAAATAAAAGATGTGATATCGCTCAATTTTACATTTTGCATATGCATGCAAAGTGGTTCTTTTTCTTTCTTTTCGATTAGATTAGATCCCAGTAAGTACTTACTTTCATCTTCTTAATAATTCAAAAGAGGGTAAAATTCATGCCACGCCGGCGGCTTCTACTCAACCAGAAGAACCAGAAGGCGGATATGTATTTATTTTCATTTTTTTTATTTGATGTCGACCGAAGGTTAAACTTTGTGCGTGTGTTTCCTTTCCTTTGGTAAATCACATATATCACAAAAATTTCAAAATATTTTTTACATATTGTATCAAATTTCTTGGTTTGTAGACATATTTATAAATATTTCTGCTATTATTTGAGAAATATGTAACTCTTAAGACATTTTTTCAAAATACGTATATTTTGTAAATATTTGAACGATGTGAGGCGAATTTTTTTTGCTGGATCACAAAATTCAAAACAATAAACTCAGAAATACAAATTTTGCGAAAAAATTCTTGTTTACTTTTTTTGCACATATTTCGTAAATATTAAATACATATTTTTCCTAAATACATATCCGCCCTCTGCTTATTACTCCTACCGCGATAGAATACCCGTTAATTGAGTAAATTTTTGGCAAACATTGACATTGCAGTATAAAGAAATTTCCTTGTCAAGTCGAAAACATGGGTAAAAGTCAAGTCGTGGAGTCAGTTGACATAATGCATAAATTGCATTACGTAATTTTTTATACATAAAGTCCTGTACCATTTAATATTACATAAATACATACATTGTTTAAAGGAACTACATACATATATTTATCAGAAAATTATTAAATAGGGAGTGAGCTCTCCATACATAAACTTGTAATGAAATTCTACCCAATTTTTCCCCTTTTTTGATGTCGTAATCTAATAAAAAATCCTATTTTTATGCACATTGATGAAACTCAAATTGAATTTATTTTGTTCACAGTGAAAGAAAGAGAGCTAGCAAAATTGTGCCCGGGTTAAGATTGAGTGACGCGATGCATGAAAAATGAATGTCCCATATTTTCATTCCACTGTGCCTCGTGGAGGAAAATGCATTTATTTCATGCAGTGCAAACATAGGATAAATAAATAACGACACCACATTTCACCTCGCTCGACCACGTAATTTATTTGCACAGACCAATTTACTAAAATAGTCGGGGAGCGACAGAGAGGTAAATTAATCAGCCAACCAGCCAGCCACCCGCACTCCACGCGCAAAATGAGACGAATTAACTAAACCATGTTCTAATAAGCAAATAGTGTTCACGTCACGACACATGCACGTGAAGTGAAGACCAAATAAACACACAAGTTTTTAGTGATACATATTTAATGAATGGGATTCATTATCATGTAAACATTTGTATCTATGTGGATTGCTGGAGCTCTGTGTAAACAATAATATGGTAAATGCGAGCCACAAAAAATAGAGGCATGCATATTCACCAACGTCTTTTCTAATAATGGACATTTTAGGCATGTTTTTCACGGATCGGCTTAAAAATCAAGTAACTTAGCACAAACAAGAGTTAGTTAGTGTGACACTTGAGCACTCTTGCAGAATTTACGGATTTAAGAAGTTTTTAAGTTGGCAAAAATGTGCATTTCACCAGCAGAAAGCGAAGAGGTGAACGCCGTAAATTTTCGCATAGTAAAAATCTGCGTTAACTTACTATTAGATCCTTCTTAAATCCGTAAATTCGGTAGAAGTGGCAAAGTGCGACACTGGCCTATTTTTAGTCATTTTATTTTTTAGTGCTGGTTTTAAGAAAATCCGTGAGAAACATGTGTGACATGTGCATTGTAAGGATGCCCAGATATTTTAGTATTTAATCTGCGGATTAAAATTTTGCAAAGTTTTTTGCCTGAATCTTGCCCTTCAGGTCTTGTTGCTTAACTTAATTTTGTATGCACAAAAGTGAAAGCTTATCAATTACGTA